GGTCTGACGGCGGCGTTCCGCCAGGGAGCAGGCCCGGCTGAGAGCCCGCCTGGTCGAGGAGGACACCGAGCGGTGGCAGAAGGAGCCCGGGTTCGCGGGGCTGGAGCGAGTGGGCGGTGTGGACTTGTCCTACATCAAAGGGGACGACAGCAGCGCCTGCGCTTCCCTGGTGGTGCTCAGCTACCCGGCCCTGGAGGTAACGGAGCCGCGTCCGTCCCTCGGGGGCGCCCCGACGGGACGGGGTTTGTAGGAGGCTTGTGCGAAGGCCGGGACCTGCGGCACCTCTGCCTCACGCGGCGCCCTAAATTGCCCCGTGGATGCTCCGCAAAGCGTCCGACCCTGCGTTCTGCGGGAACGATGAATAGAGACGAAAATAAGCGTGAGGTTTTAGGTGGAAGTTCAGGAAGATGCGGCGCAAACTGCTCGTGGTGAGAGGATGGAGGATTGCCACGAGCTTGCAAGGTGGTGTTTGATTTACAGCTAACAGTTCAAGTTAGCTGTAAATCCAAAAATACCACGATGAGATGTGGTCCGTGGTCAGGCACGGAACGCCGTAACGGCATATGGAAAACAACCAGTCCCACCCACTAGGGACAAAAAGGCCCGTTGTTATTCGGTGGTGATCCGGAGAGGAAATTAAAGCATTTGTAGCACTCAAACAGCAGGTGTCTTGTTGGTGAGTTCTTGCTGGGAATCAGCTAATAACATGGGATGTAACATAAAAAAGCCATTTCAAAACTGCCATGAATCTCACATCCTACAGCCATTTTACTTGAATTAACAAAGATTTTAGGTCTCAGCTTTCAAAACGATATTAAAAATATCTTTAAACGCTATAGCAAGCAGAGAAATAGAGTTTGATACTGGCCACTGGGATTTTTGCAAACCGAATTCCAAATCCTGCCTTGATTCTTGACTTGCCCTGCACGCACATTTTTTTGTCCTGTCTTTCAGAGGTTCTTTTGGCCCGTCCCTGCGCAGAGAGACGCACCCTTTGATAACACTCTGACTGGGTGGACTTTGAGTGGTGGGTGTATCTGAATAGCTGCCCTGCTTTTGTTTCAGAGACTTCACTCTCAGGCAGGGTCTGGTAGGTGATGTCCAGCCCTCCTCTGCCAGCAGTCCGTCAGTCACCTCCTTCTCTAACGGAGCAACAGAATGACACAACCCAATGGCCTTGGCTTTGTAGGAGAGATCCAGCAGCAGAGTGGTTTAAAAAAGATGAGATTAGGGGTTATGAACCAGAGGTGATGCCTCTGAAGCAGTCAGGAACCAGCCAGCGAGTCCTGGAGGTCACTGTGTGTGCACTGTCCCGCTGCTCCCAGGTGCTGTACGAGGAGTGCCGGATGGTGGCTGTCAGCGCCCCGTACGTGGCGGGGTTCTTAGCCTTCCGAGAGGTCCCTTTCCTGGTGGAAGCTGTTCAGAGACTTCAGCCGGAGGAGCCCAGGCTCAAACCTCAGGTGTGGCATATTTCTTTGTCCAGAGGTGAGATGTCGTGAGGGCACAGAGTGCTGCTGAGGCTGCGCTGTCTGGCTGGTTTCCACTGGTGAGGCAGAAGGGGCCGTGTCAGGGTTGTACTGAAGCATCAGTTGCCCTTTCCGTGGGGACCAGGGATGCTAAGCCAGGAACAGCCCGGCCTCCCATGGCAGTGGGAGTCCTGTTCTGCGGGCAGCACCAGCGAGGAGCACTGCCAGCTTATGCTGCTGGGGCACCGGTTGTTCAGAGTTAGGTATAGACAGCACTTCTCCTCCCTCACAGGGTCAGCATCACTGTCTGCTTGTTGGAGTGGCTCTGCACAGGAAATAACTTTTCTTTTTTGGCTTTTCAGGTCCTTTTTGTAGATGGGAATGGCCTGCTCCATCCCAGAGGTAGGACTTCACTGGGGAGCCCTGCTCTCCAGGCTCCCCGTGCTGCCCCTTGAGATTCCTCTTCTCTGGTGTCCTGCGGTTACACTGGGTCGTTGTTGGCAGGATTTGGTGTGGCCTGTCACCTCGGAGTCCTGACGGATCTGCCATGCATTGGAGTGGCCAAGAACCTCCTGCAGGTGGATGGCTTGGTCAGGGATGAGCTGCACAGAGAGCAGGTTAGGCCAGGCTGGGAATTCATGTCCACTCTTTAATATCCCAAAAGAAACAGGACAGCAGCATGCAAGTACTTTCTAACCAACTGACCTTGTGTATGTTTATCCCTAGATTCGTTCCTTGCAGAGGGAAGGAGATATGTTCCCACTGACAGGTGCTTCGGGGAGAGTCCTGGGCATGGTAAGCTGTGGGGAGTTTCCTGTTTGCTTGGCCATCAAGTCTTCCAGCTTTGCGTAGCTGGGAGTGCTGGAGGATGTTGTCCGTATAGTGGGACAGTCTCAGCGATACCAGTTCAGGAAGACACAGTGTGCACTGGTGACCAGTAACACTGCCTTCCCCGTCCTGTGAGCTCAGGCGTTTGTGGAAAGAGTTGACAGTTCTGGCGTTGGATACGTTCATGTCCATGGCTGTGGCCTCGGAGGTGCCATGCTGCAGCACCCCCGTGTGTGAAGTGCAGTCACAGAGAGGTGCTGGATCTGTAGCAGCTCACCAGGATGCAGATGGAGCACGTGGTGCAGAAGAGCACTGCACAGGAAACGGGCTGATGCCAGAAACTTCCCGCGTCTGGTGATGTTTCAACATAGTCTGCATTAGCAGGTCTTTGTGCTTCCCAGAGCAGTGCGAGGCGTTTTCGGGGGTCCACAGGGTTCCAAAAGGGCAGACAGTCCCTAGGAGGAGATACTGGGAAGTAGAGAATCAAGAAGACTGGAAGCTGCCAAATGTAGAGCCACCACCCCACCTTCTGAAGGCAACTGGCTATCTTATAATTCATCTGCCACTCCGTATTTGTTAAAATAAGACACTCTAAGTATTTGATCTCCCTTGTTTCTGAATGCACAGGTCCTGCGTAGCTACAACAACAGCTCTAAGCCGCTTTATATCTCCGTGGGTCACAGAGTGTGCCTGGAGACAGCCGTGGCTCTCGTCAAGTCCTGCTGCAGGTACCGGATCCCGGAGCCCATCCGTCAGGTACAAGAGCAGAGGGGCTGAGGCGGGGGGAGGCAGGCCTGGAGCAGGGAAGCAGGCAGTGGAGGGGGCTGGCCAGTGGCGATGTTTCAGAGCCTCAGTTTGCCACTTGTCTGCAACTGGCAGTTCTGCACTGGGCACCTTCTTCCTGGCCAGTTCACCCCAGCCTGTTCTACTGTTGTTTACATGGTAGTTAGGTGAGCCTTCCTCTTCCACGCTGGTCCTGTCGCAGTGCCCTTACACGCAGCCCCGGCACACGCAGCCCTTACTGCAGACCCAGCCTGACTGATGTCTTGGTTCCTCTCTGCAGGCAACTTCTGTGATGCTGATGTTAATACACGGGAGCTGGAAATGCAGCTTTCCCGGGCGCTTTGAGCCCAGCACAGACCGCAGTGCTGCTCCTCTGGGCTTTTCCCTGCTACTGCACTCTGAAGGAGCTGCAGGCTCAGGGTGGCAGCGAGCCGGTAGGTGCCAGCACTGGATCACAGAGCCGCAGCTGCCACCGAGGCTCAGCTTTAGACTAATTAAATGGCAGCAGGGCTTGAGGAAAGGATCTGGAGAAGTGTAAAGCCTCTGAGACTTCCAGCCTGACAAGTGCTTCCCTTCTCCCAGGGTCACCCCACTGCTGGTGGCTCAGGTGGGTGAGACCCAGCGCCTGCCCTGGGAGCAGGGCCCGGTCGGGCACCCGTGTTCGTACCGTCGCCCCGGCACATGCCATGCCCGGCGGGTGTCTGACCACCTTTGCTCTGCAGCTCCTCAGAGCAGCACTAAGGTGGTCCTGCTGAGGGCTGTGAGGCAGCCTCTGCATGCAGGAGCTTCTCGTTGGTACTGCAGTGTTTTCTGAAAACAGTCCTGAGTCTGTAGTTATAAACCAGACAAAAATCTAACACCTCAGAGCAAAACAAACCTCGGAGCGTCCGTACCAGAACTGGAGTTTCTGATCTCATAAAGCACTACCTGCCAGACGGGAGTAGGCTGATGGATCTTATGTAATCCTTCCAGCAAGGGACAGATGCCTCCGCAGAGCTCTGAGCTAGCTCTGCAGTTCGGCGTGTTCAGAGCAGAGGGGAGAAGCATTCCCTTTGGAAACAAAAAAGTGTCTTGGAGCTTTTCATCACCCTCATTTCATTTCCAGCTACCTCCAGTGTTTGTCTGTGTTCTGAGACTCTTCCAGTTCTCTAACTGTGACCTTAATTTAAAGTGATGGAATGAATTGTTGTCGCTTTCCTTAGAGAGATTAAAAATCCGTAAGGGAATGTGTTTACTGTAGAGGTAGAGGGATGGCAGGAGATACGGACACTTAAACCTTTCCATGGGATTTCTCCCTGTTGCAATTGCTCTATTTGGTAACTGTCACAGATCTTGACACAGGGCAGCGCTGGGAGCCTCAGCTCCTGGGCACCTAAAGCTGGAGTTAGGATGCAGAGGGCTCTGGAGAATCCTGCCATGGATGACTGAGTTGGCCCTTTTGCTGTGGCATGTCCCCAGGACAAGCTTGCAGACCTGATGGGTGATGTGCTCGTGGCTTTCCCAGGGTCATGAAATACTTGTGGATCGTTAGCTCTTAGTTTGTAAGTTCTGGTGGCCCTGGAAGTATAATGCTCTTCAGAGAGCTCAGCTGTGCCCGTACCTTCCTGAGGCTGTTTGTGGCTGGTGTAGGGCAGTGCAGTGCTGCAGCACGAGTAGTGCTGTGCAACTGTTGGGCAACTTACACCTTCTGCTTTCCTAGGGGTACGGCTGCCCAGTCTGGGTAGGGCGTGTTGTGCTTCGTGGGCACGCAACGGTATCTAGGCAGTGATCAGAAACGGTTTGATTTGCATTCAGCCCACAGTGTGGTCGTGCTGCCAAAGGAACTGAGGCTGTGGTACAGGTGAGAGAAAGCAGAGGGAAGGTCGTTACCACCTACAGTCAGTATTTACATCCCACTTAGTCCTTATTCCATGTGTAAGTGCAAGGCCAATCTGGGAGAATTTTGCTTGTGTGGGGGTGATCTCTCTGCCCAGCCAGCTTGTGTGAGATTTTGAGGTTCCTCTGCAGAGGGTTGGTCATTTGGAGCTACGCAGACAGAGATTGAGGTAGGCAGGAGCTGTCATCCCAGAATAATAAGCAAAGCATTCAAACTGAGTGGCACTGGAACAATACCAAGCCCTCCTGAGAGCAGCTGCCCTTGCCTACTTCTGGCAGAGGTCAGAACCCCTCTCCAGCGTTTGCCCACGCTCCAGACCTGCTCAGACCCAGGATCCCCACGCACAGAGAGGGAACAGAAGCTTTTAACACTCTCCAGCTGACGAGGATGGCACTGGGACTGCTGCTTCTGCTCTCACCGTTCGGTTCCCGGCGCTGCGCACCAGCCTGCAGCTCCCTTGGCGATCCCTGAGCTCCAGCTGGCTCCTCGCCCACCCGGTTCCTGCTGCCTCGGGACGTGGCTGATGGGGCAGCCCGATGGTGCTCCAGCCCACCAAGAAGGACAGAAGTAGGCCTGCCCAGGGCTGTGAATTTCTGCAGGTCACTTCGTGTGAAACATTAAAACACTTGTGCTTAGGAGAACTGAAAAATAAGCCATCATCCCTCTCCTCTGCGTGAACAGCTCCTGCTGCCCAGCGGCGGAATCAGCAGCTGGCACCCCGAAACTCTTCCCTCCTCTCAGATGTACCCCCCGCTGCCCCTCGGGAAATGGGCGAAGCAACAATTCCAGACCCTAATGCCAGTACTAGTCCCCTCTGAAAATAGAAACGATCTGTGAGGGTTATTACGGGACAGTTATCCATCTTATTGATTAGCCTCTGGGATAATGCGCTGGGTTAAGCTGTCTCTCCGCGCTGCGTGAGGGGTGAGGGCTGCCCGGGAACTCGCCACCTAATCGAGCATGAGCTTACCTTAGCAGCAGAACGTGGTTGGGGTTTTTCTTCCCTAGAAAAATAGTTTGTGGATGTGACTCTTGCTGCCTTGGTCTCCCAGTAGGGACTGAGTGGAACAACCTCCTTCCCTCGTTACAAAATACATCGCGTAATCTCTTATCCTGAAGAGTGATCAAAGTTATTTGTCAGTTCAGTTATGAAACTGTCCAATTATAGAGAGAAGAGAAAAAAATCTCCCAAACAAACCAGTCCTTATGTAACTATTTTTCATTCTCGAGCGTGCAGAATTGTTAAGCAGTGGTGGAGCTGCGTCTGCAGCAGTAAGAGCAGGCAGAGCCTCCACCCCAGAGGTCTGACTGGGATGGAGGGGTGGTGGGGAGCTGCTTTAGGTGTGGGAGAGACTTGCAGAAGTAGAACAGTGATGGGAGTAGCAAATGCTTCAAGGACAGCCACTGGGGATGTGTTAACCCACTTTATTAGCATGATCATCATACGCTGTGAAGCTTTTCCAGCTGGGAAGGTCATATCCTGCTTTTTAAGTGGAGAGAGACACTCTGCCTTTGAGGTGGGGCACAGCAGCTGTTCTGAAATGTCACGGCGTAGCAGTGGTTTTGAGAAAGGAAGTTTCTAAAAAAGAAAAAAAACTTTTCAGGGAATGTCAAAATCAACTGCCAGTTCTCAAAGTTGTCCAACAGCTCAGGGTCTGTGTGCTTGTGATAACATCTAAGAGTCTTCTGCATTGGAGAGCTGAACAGTTAATGCTTCCAGGGGACAAGAACATTCTGTAAATGTCCAGCAACACTTTCCATAGCTCTTGGGATTTCCCTTGATTGTTCTTTTGCCCTGCTCTGACCACATGCTCTCCTGCATTGCTAAGACGCAGCAATCTCCTTTTCCTGGTGAGGTCAGGAGGCCTCGTGTTACAGGAGAGTATTTCGGAAGAGGAAGGGAAGAAGTGGTCAGCTGCATGAGGGTGGGTTTGGTCATGGCTCCCAGCTCAGTTTCAGACGAGGAGGGCAGTAAACCATGAATTTGGTTGAGTCTCAACGTTACTCCTTGTGATTTTGGTGCTGGAAAGTGGAGCCTGGAGCATGGGTAGGGCCTGGTGTTGTCTTCCTTGGCAGCTTTGCCGTTGGACTGGCGAGGCAGGACAGTGTGAAAGGTGCCTCAGTCACTTGCCTTGCAACTGCTGCCAGAGGCGACAGCCGAGGATGTGCTTGTGTCGTGTCTCTGCTTTTGTTGGTGTTTTTACCTGCTTTAGCTGCAGAATTGCCGTTGCCCAGCCAGCCCATGGGCAGGATGAGCCAAGCTCTTGCCCGGAGAAAAGGATGTTCAGCAGACGAGTGGTGTGTTTCTCCATCTGTTGCTGCATCATACAACTGCTGGAACAGAGGAAGGACAGGGATGGGTACAAGAATGGGCAATGCCAGGGTCATCTTTTCATCCCATGTCCTCTTGAGAACTCGCCTGCTGGATTCCCGTGTTCCCAGGCTCTTCACAGCCCTCTCCATAGCCTTGTTCCCCCTCTCTATGTACAGTTTCCTGAGGAGGGCAGAGTCCCATTTCTCAGCTCATTCGTGGCCAGAAAAGCTAATCCTTTGGGAACAGCGCAGAGTCACGGCTGTAAAGACCACGACTGATCTTGGAGCGCCGCGAGCCTGGAGCGTGCAGCCTGCGCCTGTTTGCGGTGCCAGTGGGAGTCCCTGTTCGCACCGTCCTGGGACACAGCTTCTGTTTCGCTGAGCACCCAGTGAGGGTTATTGCAGCAGATCCATGGGGCATTCTGCTCCAGGACAAGTCAGTAAGATGCTCCGGTGGTTCCCCACCTTGTGAGGAGGGATCTGTGAACCACTGTCTCATGCCCAGTTGCCTCGCGGTGCTGCAGAGATCTGCTCTCACATCCGTGTGGTTTTGGCACTCCCAGCGACGTTCTGGGCGCCGGGGAACATTCTGCTTTTGTACGTTGGTATAGGCTGGGGATTTTGCCAGCTTTGAGCAAAAGGGATGAAGGAGATCCCAGGAAACAGAAGAGTGGGCAAAGTCCTGGGCTGAAGGGAGTCCTTTGTTTTGAGCATCTTGGTCTGCGAGCGTTTTGCTGCTGCACAGGGACTGCTCAGCGCTGCAGAGACGTGCGTGTGGTCGTGGCATGTGATCCCTTTACGGAGTGAGGGTGGTGGAGAAGCTTCTGTTGGTTCAGTGGGAGAGCTGGTTTACTTTTTGGGATATCTTGTCTCGAGGGAAGGAAGACTTACCCTGCTCTCAAGTGTCTAACAAGTCTATTCCATCTCTTGTCAGACTGGGATGAGCTGGTGTGGGGAAGGCCTGTGAAGGAGCTCAGCTGCTCGTTAGGTTTTCCTGCCTCGCGTTTGAAGGTGCCCACACATGGAAGCAGTCATTTGGGCTGGTTCTAAGGATGAAAGCACTAGAGCATTCTCAGACTCCCAGGTCCCTCCTGATTCTGCTGCCCAGGGTCCATCAAAGCAGGGTTGTCGTTCTGGCGTAGAGACAGGGCAAAATGGAAAAGCAGCCCATCACCTCAGCAGCTCTCCCTGTGCCAGTGAACACCGCTTCTTACAAAGCCTCTAGAAGTCCTTGCTGGCCATCCTCTGGGTCGCACAGGTCCCCCTGGGGCAGGCTGGTCGCACTGGGCTGCAGCCAGGGTTTGCTGAGGATGCCCAGGCTGGGTCCTGCTCCTGCTGCCGTGCTTGGGGGGGTTGGGGCTGAGCAAACCTCAGGCACTGACTGAGAGGAACCTTCTGTGCCCATCTCTCACCTCCTTACTCCTAGGAGAAGCGAAGAGGCAGGCAGCAAAAAAAAATTCTGCTTCTGAAAGAGACTGTACCCCAGTGCGGCTGTTCGGTCCAGCACCCCGTTTCCTCACTTTAAGCCTTCGTTCTCCCAGGCAGCTCGCAGGGAGGCATGGAGACCAAACAGGGAAAGGAACATGCAGGTTCCTCTTTGCAACGCAGTCGTACAAAAGCTGTTTGTGATGTACCGACACCAGCGTGTGCGGGGGCACACCGAGATAACGAAGGGGAGGCACCAAGCAGGCCAGTCAGTCCATTTTCACTCCTTTTCCTCCTTAATTCCAGGCTGATATTAGATCGAGGGAGTACATTCGGAAGCAGCTGTGCTCACCGCTGGAGGTCATATCTTCTGGGCCAGAGAGGTAGGTGTGTGGGCAGCCCGAGCCACTGCCTCTCCAGAGGGGATCTGCTCATGTAATGATCTCCAGTAATGGCATTAAGGGGACAGACAGGGTAACAAGGTGAGCTCAAGGGACAGCGGGACATGTGCTGCCTCCAGAAAGGGTGATTTCTGGTAGTTGTAGCCATGCTGCTTCACACGTTTCTTCGGCCGAGCACCGTGTCCTCGGCCAGGGAAGGTCGTTGGGGATTTGGTCTGTTTCCGGCACCTGCGATAAGCACAGCGCTAACGCCCACAGGTGTGACACGAGGGTGACCAGAAATACCCTGCAGGGAGCTGGTTTCTGCCCCCGGAACGCCACGGGAGGCTCAGGCTCCCCCACTCTTACATAACGTAGGCCAGCGGCCGCTCCGCGGAGCGGTGTGAATCCGTAGCGAGAGGCGTGGGAGGTCCTTGTGCTGGGGCCACGCTGCCTCTCCGGCACAGCGGTGGTGGGTTCTCGGAGCCACACCAGTACCAGGCGGGGCAGATACTGGATGTCCCGGCCTGAAGAGCTGCTCGGGGATGAATGAAGCGTGTCGGGACCCGAATCCCACTCTGGTCTGAAGGTCCTGATGAACCAGAGAGTGGAGGTTGCTGGTGGCAGTAGTGAGGGATTGCTTTGCTGGCTTAGGGAAGCACCTGGATGGTGGGTGCAACTCCTCATGGTCTGCTCAGCTCCTCTGTTCTTTGAGTCACACAGCCAGAAGCAAAAGGGCCTTTCTCTGCTCTCGCCGCGGCCGTCGCACAGCGTGGCCGGGCCATGGGGGTGGCTCTGTGCAGCACCAGGCTGGGTGTCCCCCGTTTGTGCTGGACCTTCATCTCTAGCACCTCTAACGCCTTCTTGCTGTGGCAGACGCTGAAGCTCACACAAAGACTCACTAGTTGGGAGGTCTGTGCAACAGAAGCCCCAAACTCATTCGATTTATGACCATGTGTCTCAAAACCTGTGTGTCTCAGCCCCTTATTCACCCAGCTCCCTAGTTATTTGATCTTCTTAGTTTCTGCTCTTTTAAGTCTGTGACCCTTGTTTTTGTTCCTGGCAGAAAAAAGGAGCCTGAACTGGATGATTTGTCTGATGCCAGAAGAAGCTGAGGGCCCCTCTTCACCGGATCCTCTCCTCCACCAAGACCATGGTTCTGCCGAGTGGAACAGCCGAGTGCCACCACAGGGGACAGCGGTGCAGGGCCGTGCTGGGCAGGGCGATGGCACCGCTGTGCCTGGCTCTGGTGGGCAGGCGGACCAGCTGCTGGTCGGGGGGAACCTTTAGGGCATATTCCTCAGGGTTGATTTTTAAGCATTGTAAAAATATTTGTATAAGCAGATAAATATTTGTACAAGCAAACAAATATTTGTATAAGCAGATAAACATTTGTATAAGCAAACGTACACTTGTAAGTTTACAACTTCCTCGAGTACTTGGGCAGTTGCAGGAGGTGATTTACAAGGAGGTGCTGAGGCACTTGGCTGGGCTACAGACGAGCTCCAGGGCTGGCCTTTGGCTCCCACCGCGCCTCCGTGGCATGGAGACTTCCCTTCTCATTGTTTTGGGCACAGCTTCCACCCATTCCCTGCAGGATGTACTCTCACGTTTACTCGGCGCATCTCCGGGGAACAGAAGCCCGGTACGGAGCTCCGGCTGCTCCCGACAGACGGGCAGAGGACGCTGTGTTTCAGGTGGGCGTGTGACTCACGAGGAGGGGATGGAGCCAACAGTCTGCTGCGGATTTGGGAAGAGGCTCCAAGGTCTGAGCTCCGGTACCTGAGAAGCTTTGTGTCTGCCTGGTGGCAGTGGCTCCTGCCTGGTGCCATGCAGCAGCGACCCGGCCTCGGTGGCTGTGCGGGGTGTCGGCTGTGCCGGGCACGGGGTGCTCCGGTGCTGCGGGTCTCGGTGGGAGCTTTCCCAGCGTCGCTGCTGGAGCGCAGTTCGGATGGAAGGTGCTGTGGGAGCCAGACTTGCTCGGTGTTAACTGTCGCCCTCTCTGCGGTGACGGAGGCAGGGGGCTCCTGGTGCGACCGGCTCTTCCTGAGGGAAGGATCATCTCGGGGGAAAGGAGAAATTCCTATCAGGGAGAATGGGGAGGGAGGTTCTTCCTAATACACAGACCAGCTGGGGTGGCCAGATCCCAGGCTGGAGGTCGTGCAGTCGGAGCGGTCCGGGAGCGCTCGTGGGTCAGGAGGAAGCTCTCTGTGCCCGGAGCGGCCGGGCCCACCACCGGCAGTGG